CACTGTAGTTGTTCAATAATGAAATTCATCCTCAAAAATACAACTTGCCTAATAATTGTGCACACAGTGTATGCAGGATAAGCAAAAGCCAACAAGGAAATATAAAATTCTTTTCCCCAAAAAGTTATTTGTATATTGTACATTGGACTATATAACGCTGTATATTGGAGTAACAAAGTACCAGATAATGAACCACCTTTATAATTTAGTAATCTTGGGAAATTCACTTTTATGAAATTATTTATTGAATTTCCCAGAAGATAATGGTAAACCATTTCTGTATTGTTGCCAAGAAAACTATATGTACATGTCACCAGGATGTGACTTGAAAGAGACTTTATATAAGTATCTATTTAACCAACTTTTCAAAAACAGAGGAAAAATCTTTGTGTGTGGAACATACAGTAACAACTGTTCCAGTAAAGGGGGCCAGTTTGGTCTAGGGGTTAAGGCTCCAGGCTAGAAACCAGGAGACAGTGAGTTCTACTCCCGCCTTAGGCATGAAAGCCGGCTGGGTGACCTTGGGCCAGTCCCTCTCAGCTCATGACATCAGGCTCAGGCAACAAGCCGATCAGTCAATCCCTGTGGCAGCCAATGAATCAGCATTTGGTTGATCCGGGGAAAAAAAAAAAAGAGCGACCCTGCACCTGTGGGAAAAACACTAGGAAGAAAAAAAAAACTGCTCCAGTAACAACTTTTGCATAAACCTGCTATTCTACTCCATTCTAGAATAGATTGGATGGAAAATCTACATACCCAGTAACCAGGGTTTTTGGTTTATGTTGAGTTGCAATTTTCCTATATCAGACACCTGCCTCTGTTACTCCAAAGAATTACTTTCTGGGAGGTGGCAGGTACCTCTTCTTGCCCTATTGTCATCAACAAGTGATAATTAATGTCATATCTCAAGCAGGGAACAGTTAGTAAATTCACAATGCAGTTTCTAGACCCAGATCCAAAACTGAAAAATGGAAGGGCTCCAATTAATTGCAAATGAAATAATAGCTGTAACTTTTGGATGAGGATATCCTCTGACATATATCTGGCAATGATTTCATATTTATATACCAGGGCCATGAACCAACAATTTTTGGTTTTATTGTACAGGCAGATGTTCCATAATCCATCATAGTTCAGTGAAATGAATCTAAGACTTCCTTATGTCAATAATATACATAATGATACATTTAGGCAGGACTTTAATTGTAGCCGATGAGACATATTCTCTTTTGGCTGGAAGAAAGGTTTAAGATCTGAGCACACAGAGTACCTAACTGTTCAGTGAGACTGAACAAGCATTGAAGCACACCATACGCTACGTGTGTTCTATGAATATGGGGCAAGGGAGGGTGTCTCTGAGTCAGTCTTGACCTCTGACAACTACTTGGAAAGTCCATGCAGTCTTCTTGGTAACATCTTCAGAAGTGATTTGCCACTATCTTCTAGTAGGGAATGACTGGCTCAAAGTCATCCAGCTGGCTTCCATGCCTAAAGCAGTACTAGAATTCAGGTTTCCCTGCTCTAGTCCTTAACCACTAGGCCAAAGTTTAGTAAAATTCAACTAATCAGACAAAGTAAAATAATGTATTGACTGAGTTACTGTAACAATGAGATACCCCAACAATTAATAACATTATTAGCTTACCATCCTCAGTAAATGGCCTCATCTGTACAACTTAAGTTAGATTTGGAAGCTGAACTAGGCCAGGCCCAGTTACTATTTGGATAGGATAGCATCAAGGAATTCCAGAACTGAAGGCTAGTCTGGGAAGCTGGGAAACATTCTGGGAAAAGTCAATAGCAAACCAATTCCATACTGTTGTTGAGAAAACTGCCTGGATGCAATCCATTCAGGCATCAGAAGCTTAGCCCAGCACAAGGGCATGCTTACATTACCTCCTTGTAAGGCATGCATTCTTACCTTTAGGGAATCGAAGCAGGCAATCACTCTTCCATTTTCAACCTGGCAGCTTTTGGATGGATGTGCAAATTTACATTCCTCATCAGAACGTGAACAAGTCCCTCTCTGAAACTGCCTGCACACTTCCAACGTCAGCCATTTTGTGTCTCTTACCGGAGCAACAATCGAGGCCATGATGTAAAACTGCTTTCGATTTTGTGAGTTATTATTAATGAAATTGCCTCTGTGTAAAAACTCCAACAAGTCAAGAAGTTCCTTTCAATAAAACCAGTTGTAGCTTAAGAAACTCCAATGCATACAAAGATGAATAAGCAGCTATTATCAGCAAACATCGCAATTATCAACCAATATATGCCACTCGTACACTTTTGTCTGCAAAATATTCATGCTCAGTAGCATTTCTGGCCAGCGTTCATGCTACTGGTAAAAAACTTTGTTTTCATACAATGGCATTCTTTTATACATGTTAGACTGCAGTACCTTCTTTGTTGGTGTTAATTAGATAGGAAAAGCTACATATTCAGCAGTCTTCTTATTCAGTTCAATATTTTTTCTCACGTTTTGTAAACGCTGGAACCAGATTCACAGGACGCAGCTGGATTTGTAAGGTTAAAACCAAAATCTAGCTGGGAGAGATCATCATGAGAACAATGAAGTTGTCTCTATACAATGACTCCATAAGGCACTTAGAGTGCAGAAACCTGTAAAAATAAAACCAAAAAATCATTCAAATAATATTTGAACACAACTTTTTTCTAGAAAATATTCTAGAGATATAGCTACAATAGTCACATTTGCAATCAGCCACATATTTTAAAAGTCCAGGAAATAAAAAGACAAGATGTACAATACAATAATCCAGTAAAGTAATAAATGATATTCAGAATAAGGCTTTTCTCATTGTATTTATTCACCTTTGGAAGTAAGGACCAAGCTGTCAGAGGATTAAGATTTTAATATTTTTTATGCATTCTGAGGTACCAAGAATGGAATGCTGCTGGCAACGTGTTTTAAATAAAATAACTGAGCCTTTTAATTTGGTTGTATTATGAATGAATATGCTGAATATTGAGAAGATTGGCTAAGTTTCCAGTTCTTTTGCCATGTGCGGTACAATCTTACACAGGCCCACAGTATCACCGGATTCAATATTTGGAACTGCAGCACTGTTTATGATACAGCAATGCTTAAACGTTTGTGAACCTTTTTGAATTTTCAATATTTCTGCATACATATGACCTAAAACGTGATCTGTTTTCCATACATGTCCATATCTAGATAAAAAGAACCCAATTAAACAAATGAGTCAAAAACATTATACTTGTTTATTTATTTATTGAGGAAAATGATCCAAAGCTCTTGGGTGCCCAAAATTACCAGAAGAATCTCCTCTTGGTGCTGTGCTATCCATTCAGAGTGGCTAATTCTCC